TGTCATTATAAAAACACTAAAGAAACTAGAACTGAAAGGAAACCTCTTCCACCTGATAAAGGACATCTGTGAAACCCTCCCAGTTAACATAGTTAATGGTGAAAGACTGAATGCCTACCTCTTACGATTAGGAACAAGACAAGATTGTCTTCTCTTGCCACTGCTATTCAACATTGTACTGAAAGTTCTACCCTGGGCAATTAGGCAAGAAAATGAAATAAAAGGCATTCTGATTGCCAAGGAAGAAGTAAAACTGTCTCTATTTGCAGATGACATGATCTTGTATCAAAGTCAAATCCCATATAAAATTATTATTATAAGACAAAAAAGAATGTTTAGCAGAATAATGTCCTTACACCTGAGTGTGTGCCAGAGAGGTGTGCCCGCAAATGAAATAACCAACTATTTCAAAATGAGCTAAAAGATACTAAGAAAATGATACTAGATGTGAAAGAACACATAAATGAAAAGTAGAAAAACTCTGAAATGTGATAGGATTTAAGAAAGAACTAACAGGAAAAAGATCATTTGAGGAGTGAAGAATAAACTAGAAGAAACACAAATGTGAATAAACATAACACATAATACTGTAAGATAAATAGACCTTGAAAATGGAGATGAGCAGAAGAGAGTCGAGCCAGTATGCCTAAGACTGCTGTCCTTAGAAAGCTTAGAAAGGCCTGCTTGTTAAGTTGGCTCTTGGCTGGCATATGGAAATTTGAATTTTGGGAGGCTCTTACATTCCCTCATAAGGATGACTCCCTACTTAATTTTTTGTGTGTGTGTGCAAACAGTATTGTTTATACTAAACTCCTCTTTCTTTTTGGGAGTTTGAATTTTCTTACATGCCTATGCAACCAGCCTCCAGTGAAACCCTGAGCAATGAATTTCTGATGAGTTTCCCTGGTGGACAGCATTTCACACATGTTGTCATAGCTTGTTGCTGGAATTGGAATCTTGTTCTTGATTTCCTTTGGCCTTTGCCACTTGTATCTTTTCTCTTTCCTGATTTTGCTTTGTATCCTTGCTTTACAGTAAATCATAGGCATGAATAAAACTTAATGCCGAGTCCTGTGAGTTCTAGCAAATCATCAAACTTGTGGATGGTCTTGCAGTCTCCTGACACACTTGTCTTAGTATTTTCCTCTTAATCATTATTGGCAACGTACAGGAATGCAAAGCAAGAAGTGTCTTCTTTAGGAGGTGTATCTTTTTAATGTTTTCATAGCCTGTTTGAAAATTCTTAAGAATGTGTCTAGTATGCCATCATATTTTCTTATGTTTAATTATAAATCCGTTAGAAGTACATCTACAAGAAACTGAAGTTTTATAATACGATACATTATATAATTCATCCATAAAATTAACCTCCCAAAAGTTGAGTCAGTAATGAATGTTTGAGCTCTGAAAACTGTCCATAGGGAAAATTATTTTCAGCTCTAGATTTCTGTGTAATGTGGTAGATTTTCTTGTATGTTTATTTCAGTTTTTAAATAATACTAATATTTCAATAGAATCTTCATAATGGGTTGGTTTGTCAGATAATAACTGCACATTTACTGCCTTTGTCTAAATCAGAAAGATTGATTTTCCTTCTTTTTTAAAGTAAGATATAAATGATACAGAGCCTTCCATTTCTCTCACAAGCTTTCAGCAAGGACATTTTCCTCCTGTTATAAAACTTGAGAAAAAAAGGCATTCTTTGTATTTCTGTTGTCTGAAATATTAATGAAGTATTTTCCCTTCACACTCACAAGATTTCTATCCAGGTTCAGATAGCATGCACTCTAGCCAGTTACTGTTTATGAAGTTTATTTGAAAACATAAAATTTGGCTTCTTCCACCAGGGTAAATAATTTAGAATTGCTAGAGTGTTTCAGGTCACTGAGAATATGCTGTTGAATACCTGTGGATACTGGCAGATGCAACCCTTAGTTCAGAAATGTAGATAGTTCCTAATGTAAATAGGCACTGACAAAAGAAAGTATCTTTTCTATCTGGAAGGAAGAGCCCAGTTCCGGAGTACATTATCAACAACATATGAGGAACTCAGAAGCATAGTTAGTCCTTGTAGTTACTTGATAAATAGTGTTCCATAGAAATCAATCCAATTTAAGATTGCCCAATGGCGTAGTACCTAAGGCATTTGACTTCTAACCAGAAGGCTGGGGATTCAAACCCACCAGCCACTCCTCGGAAGGTAGACTGGGCAATCTACTTCTGTAGAGACACTACCTCGGAAACCCAAGGAGGGATCTCTGTGAGTCGGATTTGACTTGACGGCAGTGAGTTTGGTTTTGGTTTTGGTTAGTGGTTGAGTTATCTTAATAAAATCAGTGCAGATAGTAATTTAAAGAAACTACATGCTTCTTAGGGCATTAGTTGGAAATTTAGAGAACTTATTTAGTAAAGACAACACCACCACCAACAACAAAAAAGCACATTATTAATATTGCTAAGTAAGAGAAGAACTTATAGTTTTATTAAGTAGAGATCTGGTGTTATGTGCTAATTGAAGATAATTTGGACATTTCACAGTTACTGCATTCTTTTTGGTAGATTGTGGGAGTCTCTAGTAATTATATGTAGATGAGGGCTCTAGACCTCTTCTTTACCTCCTCTGTACCAGATAGATGTTAGTCCAAACCAAATTATGCCATCGTTTAGCAAGCAGGCATAAAATGAGTCATGTAAACTCCATGAAATTCCCACTCCCTGTCTTTTTTGATATAATTTGACCATGAATTCTTGTGAATACCTGTCAGCTAAACAGACAACCACTGCCTGGTTGTTACTTCTTGAAAATAATGTTTTATATTTTATAACTATAGCTGGGTATTTCACCGACATTGCTGGGCTTTATTACTTACAGGGAAAAAGAACCCAACATTGTTGGCTTCCCATAGGAAGATGGCAGGTATTTATTGAGCAACTACTTTCTGTTAGGCCCTGACTGAAGGTGCTGCAAGATGAATAAAATACAAACAACCCTTGCTTTCAAGGAGCTTCAACAATTATAAAGTGTAGAAAACTAATTCAAACCCTCTGCTGTTGAGTCAATTCCAACATATACAAACCTGTTTGTTTGGTTAAAACTACCCTATAGGGTTTCCAAGGCTATAAATCTTTATAGAAGCAGACTGCCACATCTTTCTTTCTCCTGCAGAGTAGCAGGTGGGATCAAACTTCCACCTTTCTGGTTAGCAGCTGAATGCTTTAACCACTACACCACCCAAGCTACTACTTAAGAAGGGTAGAACAATATAAATTACTGTAATTCAAGGCAAACTAAGTATTATAAGAGGGATAGAAATGTGCTACACACTCCTGCTATCAATCAGTGTTCTAGTTGTTTCTCTCTGAAAATCATTAGTAAGTTACCATCTTTTGGAAGTGAGATCAGACCTGTAACAAATGAATTGCCACTGCTAAAGAACAGTGTTCAGTTACTAGGCAACATTCTTAATACACAGTAAGTTATTTTTCTTTTTTAGGGCTCCCAGGGACTTAGTTAAGAGGGTCTTTCCATTACCCAAAAGCTGAGAATCTAAATGTAGAAGGAGCTCTCAGTGAGGACTAGCTCATTGGGCTCTGATTTTAGGCTCGCTAGATTGCTGGAGCTTTGATGGCGTAGTGCCTAAGGCATTTGACTGCTAACCAGAAGGCTGGCGGTTCAAACCCACCAGCTACTCTATAGAGATACTGTCTTGGAAACCCAAGGAGCGGCCGCTATGAGTCGGAATTGACTCCACGGCAATGAGTGAGCTTTAGATCCCTGGAAAGGAGCTGTGATAGTGTGGTACTTAAGTGCTTAGTTGCTATACAAAAGGCTGGCAATTTGAACTCACCAGCCACTGTGCAGGAGAAACATGGCAGTCTGCTTTTATAAAGATTACATACAGCCTTGGAAACCTGATGGGGCAGTTCTCTGCCCACAGGATCACTCTGAGTTGGAATCGAGTCACTGATAATGAGGGTTTTGTTGTTGTTCTTGCTAGACTCCTGGATGAGTGCTTGTTTTCATAACTGCCTTGAGAAAATGGATTTCACTTAAATCTTGTTGGAGCCATGAGAAGTGTGATTTGGCTTATAACCTAAAACACTCATGATTTCCTTCCAAATAATTTTGTGACCAGCCATTATTTTTCTTGCCTTTAAAAATAAGTCATCAAGTCTGTAAGTGCTGTTGACAGAAATATCTAAGAATTGGTGTATAAAGGGAATTATTAGTAATGCATTGACAGATGCACTTTTTAACATGAAAGATAATACAGTCAAAATTGGAATTCTTTGTAAGTTTATTAGTCATATTGGAATCTCAGTTCTCAGATCTATTGATAATTATTGAACTTTGTATCTAGTTTGGGGTAGTTATAGGAACGCTGACTTGATGGCACACAACAACAACAACAACAACAACAACATAGGAACATGAGGAGAATGTGAATTGTCCAACTGGACTTAAGGAAATAATTTCTGCTACTTTATTCAGTTTTATACTCTACTAAATGCCTTAATGTGTGTTGTTAATTGTAGAATAAATAACATTTGGTGCACATATCAGAATGTTGAATAAAAGCTTTTAAAGTGCTGGTAAAGATGGTGTCATGCTAAAGCATGAGGAGGGCAGTTTTAAGTATCTTGGCATATTTTCCAGCTAATTGCATAGTTTTTTACTGAAGATGCCATCCCCATGCTCTGCTGATGATAAAAGACTGTGTCAAATATTTTGGAAATATTTTGAAAATGTGGGTGTTTTTACTTCCCTTCCTGTTCTCTTTGTCAGGGCAGGAGCATCTCTTGTATTAATCTGTTTAACAACCGCAGCATCAATAGCAGACAGTGTCCTAATGAATTTTCCTTTCGTTTGTTTAAGTTTGCTTTCCTATTAAAGTGTTCACTTTTGTCATAATGTTACTGGAATGTTTGTAGTGCCTAAATTAGTTTTTTTATTTTTTCTGCACTTATATCATGGATGATTATATTTCATTCTTTTACAGGAATTTTAAACAATTGTCTAGTGAAATGGAATTCATGACAATTAATGGAACAACACTAAGGAATCTGGAAATCCTACAGAATCAGGTCAGGCAACATAAGGGCTAGTTGATTCAAAATGGTTTTGAAAGGTGAGATATCAAGCTGTTCTTAGGAGTGCAGATGAAAATCACAATAAGTGTTGTCTTCAGCTGACAAGTCTGCCTGTCATCTGTTTATTACTTGATAACTGTGGCATGCAATTTTTGGAGAACCAAACGTACTGAAATACTTCTTTGGGAGCTACAGAGCTGTCTTTTAATGATTGAAGGATGTGCCCAATTTCTGTATCATGAAAGGAACTTAAGAACAGGGAACTTGGTTTTAAATATTTCTCTGAAAAGACATCATCTTTGAGAATTAAAATGGAGTGGATTTTTTTTCTCTGCTTGATTATATTTTCTCTATATCCCTTTAACTTTTTGTTGAGATGTCTGCAGTCTTATTTCACTGTCTAGCATATAAAACAAGCTACTGTGATACACAGTTCATGACTGTAAGATGTATAATATTTCACTTTACAGATTTTCATCATTGTGTATCTGCTCTTTATTGGTGAATTAGGAAAGTCATGGAGACATTAAAATTATTGCTTGCATTTATTAAATTATCACTTGAAACATATTATATTATAAAACTAATGTTACCATAAAACGATGAAAGCAAAAAGCAATTCCAACTCATTTGATTAAGTAGTCATTTGATCTACATCAAATGATTTGAAACTCTTCGAAAATGTTCATTACTATTTTGAATTAAAGTAAAGGCTGAATTTAATCTCCTGATCCTGGACCTGTATAATATCAACTGCTTTTCCTGACTTACTTTCTCCCTCATCCAATCCATCCTATACTTGAGTCAGATGTACTTTAATTTGGTAACATTTCTGTCTTGTCTTTCCATTACCCAAGCTGAGAATCTTTCCTGCAAGTCTCTGTCATCAAGTCTATGTACATTCCTGGAATAGGAAGCAAGTAGTAGGAATAAAAGAACACTACTTTGGTGAAGAAGCTCAGAATCTGTGGGCACAGCCCAGGCATTGCAGGCTTTCCTTACCCTACCATATACTTCCAATCAATTCTTACTGCAGTGGAGTCAGTTCTGAAATAAAAACCCTAAAGCAAAATCATGTATACTCAAAATACCCTTGGAAATCCCTTATAGTTTCAACATAGATCCTTTTAGAAACTAAGGCTTTGAAATGGCTTGTTCCATTTCTGGCTCTGGTGGCACAGTGGTTAAAGATTTTGGCTGCTAACCAAAATTTCAGCAGTTCAAACCCACCAGTCCCTCTATGGGAGAAAGATGAGGCTGTCTGCTTTTGTAAAGATTTGTAGCTTTGGAAATCGGTGATAGTTGGAGTTGTGTGACAACTTGACTGGACCACAATTCTGAGTGGTATCAACAGTTGTGATGTGGGTTTTTCCTAGGATGAGATCAGATGTATATGTTTTGAGCAGCCAGTCTGTTGAAAGAGAGTTGCCCTAGGGGTGTGGCCTGCTTCTAATATATTTATGGACATCCTGGGAACGTGAGGCACTCTTCTGTGGATCTGGATCCTGTTGGCTGCCTGCGACTGTCCATGAGCAAACAGTCCACCATTTGGCCTTGTGATCTTGGATTTGTCATTCATCAGAGTCAACAGCCGATATATTGCCTGCCAAACTTGAGCTCATCAGTTCCTGCAATTGTATGAGTCAGGAAAAGCCTCCAGTTTGACATTTGATCCCAAAACTTAGGACTTGCCAGCTTCTGTAAGTGTGTGAGCCATTTTCCTAAGATAAATTTCTCTCTCTCTCTCTCTCTCTCTCTCTCTCTCTCTCTCAGCTTTTCTGGTTTTGCTTCTCTAGAGAACACAGCCTAACACATTTGGTACCGAGAGTGGTTCTAGAGAGACAAAATAAAAAAGATGGGCTTCCTAAATTGGTTCTCACCGATTCTGTTTTAGTTCTCCAATTTGATTAATCATAAAGGCACTGGTGACTCTGCTTCCATTAGTCAAGAGGGCCCAGAACAGCAGAAGGCTCTGCAACAGGTTCAGGCTGCCATGCAAGCTGCTCTACCACTTGGTTTATGTGATCTGGCTGATCCAATGGTGCTTGAAGTCTCTGTAGCAGATAGAGATGCTGTTTGGAGTCTTTGGCAGGTCCCTGTTGGTGAATCACCATGTAGACCCTTGGGATTTTGGAGCAAAGCCCTGCCATCTTCTGCAGATAACTACTCTCTTTTTGAGAAACAACCTTTGGCTTGCTATTGGACTCTAGTAGAGACTGAATGCCTAACCATGGGCCACCAAGTCACCTTGATGCCTGAGCTGCCCATCATGAACTCGATGTTGTCTGAAAGACTCATAAAGTTGAATGTGCATAGCAACACTCCATCTTTAAATGGAAGTGGTATAAGAGATTGAACTCGAGGAGGACCTGAAGGCATAAGTAAGCTGCATGAGGAAGTGGCCCAAATGCCTGTGGTCTCCACTCCAACACTGACTCTGTGATACGGAACCAGTCACATTACCTTCCCTCTCCCAGTCTGCACCTATGGCTTCATGGGGAGTTCCTTATGATCAATTGACTGAGGAAGAGAAAACTCATGCCTAGTTTACAGATGGTTTTGCACGATATGCAGGCACCACTTGAAAGTGGGCAGGGTGGCATTGCAGCCCCTTTCTGGAACTTCCCTGAAGGACATTGGTGAAAGGAAATCCTCCCAACAGGCAGAATTTTGAACTGTGCATCTGGCTGTTCACTTTGCATGGGACAAGAAACAGCCAGATGTATGATTGTATATGGATTTGTGGGCTGTGGCCAGTGGCTTGGCTGGATGGTCTGGGACTTGGAAGGAGTATGATTGGAAGATTGGTGATAAGGATGTATGGGGAAGAGGTATGTGGATGGATTTCTCTGAATGGGCCAGAGGAGAAAAGATATTTGTGTCTCATGTGAATGCCCACTAAAAGGTGACCTCCACAGAGGTGGACTTTAACAGTTGGGTGGATAGGATGACACGTTTACTAGAAACCAACTGTCCTTTTTCCCCAGCTACTCCTGTCATTGCTCAATGGGCTTATGAACAAAGTGGCCATTGTGGCAGGAATGGAAGATTATGCATGGGCTCAGCAACATGGACTTCTACTTACCAAGACTGATTTGGCTATCTCTATTGCTGAGTGCCCAATCTGCCAGCAGGAGAGACTAACACTGAGTCTGTGATATGGAATCCTTCCTTGGGGTGATCAGCCAGCAACCTCATGGCAAGTTGATTACATTGGACCACTTACATCATGGAAAGGACAGTATTTTGTTCTTACTGGAATAGATACTTCTTCTGGATATGGATTTGCCTTCCCTGCATGCAATGCTTCTGCCAACACTACCATCTGTGGGCTTACAGAATGCCTTATGCACCATCGTGATATCCCACACTGCATTGCTTTGGATCAAGGGACTCACTTCACAGCAAATGAAATGCAGCAGTGGGCCTATGCTCATGGAATTCACTGGTTTTACCATGCTCCTCATCATCTAGAAGCAGCTGGCTTGATAGATCGATGGAATGGCCTACTAAAGACACAGTTATGGCACCAGATAGGTGGCAATACTTTGAAGGGTTGGATCAGTGTTCTCCAGGAGGCTGTATATACTCTAAACCAGCATCCAATATAGGGTGCTGTTTCTCCAATAGCCAGGATTCATGGGTCCAGGAACCAAGGGGTGGAAACGGGAGTGGTACCACTCACTATTACCCTTAGTGACCCACTCAAAAAATTTTCACTTCCTGTCCCTGCTACCCTATGCTCTGTAGGTCTGGAGATCTTAGTCACAAAGGGAGGAATACTTCCACCTGGAGACACAATAGTGATTGCATTGAACTGGAAGTTAAGAATGCCACTGGCCATTTTGGCTTCCTCATGCCTCTGGGTCAACAGATAAAGAAGGGAGTTACTGTACTGTCTGCTGTGATAGATCCTGATTACCAAGGGGAAATTGGATTGACATTACATAATGGAGGTAAAGAAGAATATGTGTGGAATACCGGAGATTCTTTAGGATTTCTCTTAGTACTACCATGCCCTGTAATTAAACTACAGCAACCCAATTCTGATATGGCTTTATAATTGTCCTTATTTAAAGATTATATATGGTCAAGGAGATGTGTACAACTGCCAAGTTGACAAGGGGTGGACTGTGATATTTGGAGTTGTGGGTCATCTTGACTAGACCACAAATCTGAGTGGTTTCAGCAGTTGTGATGTGGGTTTTTCCCATGTTGAGATCGGATGTATATGTTTTGAGCAGCCAATCCACTGAAAGGGAGTTTCACTAGGGGTGTGGCCAGGTTCCAACATATTTATGGACATCCTCGGAAAATGAGACACTCTTCTGTGGATCTGGATTCTCTTGGCTGCCTGTGACTGTCTGTGAGTGAACAATCCACCATTTGGCCTGGTGATCTTGGATTTCTCATTCGTCAGAGTCAGCAGCTGGTATGCTGCCTCCCAACCTTGAGCTCATCAGCCCCTGCAGCTGCATGAGTCAGGAAAAGTCTCCAGCTTGACATTTGATCTAAAAACTTGGGACTTGCCAGCTTCTATAAGTGTGTGAGTCATTTTCCTAAGATAAATTTTTTTTTCTCTCTCTCTTTCTCTCTCTAAGCTTTACTGGTTTTGCTTCTCTAGAGAACCCAGCCTAACACAAAACCTATGGAACTCTGTCCTGTAGGATCACTGTGAGTTGGAATCAGTTCAATGGCAGTAGGTACTCCCTGTTGAGAATTTGCCTTTCCACCGCAGATAAACTGAATCAGAATCTACATTTGAACAAATGCCCACATTATTACTATTATTTTTTTTTAATTGTGATTTAGGTAAAAGTTTACACAGCAAATTGGTTTTCCATTCCACAGTTCATACACATTCTGTTTTGTGACATTTACTGTAATCCACACACTGTAATAGCATTTTTCCCACTGCTTCCCTATGACCACCTTTTCCCTTCATTCCTTCCCACCTTCCTATCTCTATCTTGGACAAATGCTGTCCTCTTGATCTCATATATTTGGTTTTTCTAATAAGTAGATGTTGTTGTTGTTAGGTGCTGTTGCCTAGGCTCTGACTCATAGCAAATTAAACACTGCCTGGTCCTGCCCCATCCTCACAATCTTTGCTATGCTGAGCCCATCGTTGAAGCCACTGTCAGTCTATCTCATTGAGGGCCTTCCCATTTTTTACTGACTCTCTACTTTATCCAGTATAATATCCTTTTCCAGGGACTGGTCCCTTCTGACAGTGTGACCAAAATATGTGAGATGAAGTCTGGCCATTCTTGCTTCTTAGAAACATACTGGCTGTACTTCTTCCAAGACAGATTTGTTTGCTCTTGTGGCAGTCCATGGTATTTTCAGTATTCTTCACCAACACCACAATTCAAATGCATCAGTTCTTTGGTCTTCCTATTCATTGTTCAGTTTTCACATGCATATGAGTTGATTGAGAATACCTTGGCTTAGGTCAGCATACACCTTAACCTTCAAAGTAACATCTTTGCTCCTTAACACTTTAAACAGGTCTTTTGCCCAGTGCAGTACGTCATTTGATTTCTTGACTGCTGTTTCCATGGGCTTTGATTGTGGATCCAAGTGAAATAAAATCCCTGATAAATTCAGTCTTTTCTCCACTTATCATGATACTGCTTATGGTCCAGTTGTAAGGATTTTTGTTTTCTTTATGTTGAAATACAGTCCATACTGAAAGCTTTGATCTTCATCAGTAAGTGCTTCAAGTCCTCTTCACTTTCAGCAAGCAAGGTTGTGTCATCTGCATATCACAGGTTGTTAATGAGTCTTTCTCCATTCCTGATGCTGTGTTCTTCTTCATACATGATGAAGAATGTGTGCATACATGCCTGGTATTACTGTTCACCTTATTGGTTTGTCTATCCTTTGACTGACAGATGAGTCATGGGGGTTAATTCAATTTCTGTCTTGAAGGGTGTCAAAGGGCCATAGTCTCAGGGGTTCTGCCAGTCTTCATCAGACTACTAAGCTATGATTTTGAGTTTTTTTCTACATTTTCCCCAGTCTATCTGGGTCTTCCTATTGTGGTCCCTTTCAGAGTGGTCAGCAGTGGTAACTGGGCCCCATCTAGTTTTTCTGGTCTCAGGGTTGTGGAAAGTGGGGTTCACATGGTCCATTATTCCTTGAGGTTAATTGTTTCTTTGTGTCTTTCGGTTTTCTTCATTCTTTGATCTGAATGGGGAGAGACCAATAGTTGTACCTTAGATGGCTGTTCACAAGGTTTTAAGGCCTCATTTGCTATTCATCAAAGTAGGATGTAGAACATTGTCTCTGTGGACTATGTTATGCCAATTGACCTTAGTGTCCTCTGAGTCTGTGGTCCTGAGCCTCCATACCCATTGATTCATTCTCTCAAAGTGTGCTGATTCTCATGTATATGATGTTGTTAAAATCTACATTTTAACAAGATTCCCAGGTGATTTCTGCAAATCCCCAGGTGATTCTTACATACATGATATTGTTAAAATGTAGATTCTGATTCTGTATATCTGGGGTGGAAAGGCAAATTCTCAGCAGGGAGTTGAACTGGAATGAACCAGTTTGAAGCCCTAGCAGAAGCTGGGAATTAACATCATCAGTTTGTCTTTGCACTTCAGCTGTCCATAGAGCCACGCAACAGGTTGATGGGGAGGGATTTGGGTACCAAGGAGAGCAATGATCTATCAGGACATAGAGTGTATCTGAGAAAATGGGTTACCCAGTATCTCTCCCACTTCCCCTGTTGTCTGAGCCTCCTTGAATGATGCCTGGTAATCAGGAAAAGATTACTTTTCCCTATCCTTCTCACCCTGCAGCCCTGGTGGTGCTGTGTTTAAGCACTTAACTGCTAATCAAAAGGTTGGTGGTTTGAACCTTATGGTTCAAACCAAAACAGATGTGGCAGTCTGTTCTGTGAAGATTTTACAGCCTTGGAAATGCTATGAGGCACCCTACCCTGTCGTGTAGGGTCATTAAGAGTTGGAATTGACTTGATGTAATAGGTGAGGACCTCATTACTCTTGCCCCAAGCACACATAGTGCCATTGCTGATGGTCAGCCATTATCACTTGGGTCTGCCTGTTCATCCTCAGAGGAACCTCTGTGACCACTGTTGCTTCTATGTGTGCTCTGCTTGGATCTCTTTAGGCCTGGGGAGTTTATGCCACAGGTTTAATAGTTCATCTCTGGCAGCTGGTGCTGTGTCCTAATTATAAATCATTTCCTCCAAACTTGGATGTAAGTTACTCTTAGGGCAGGCAATATGCTTTAACATATCTTTGCCTGCCCCAGTACTGAGCACATAGGAGGAGGTTGTCTGTAAGTACCTGTTCATTGATTTGAAAAGAAAAAAGTTAGAAACAACAAAAATTCCAACTCAGATGGAAACTGCTATTTTGTGTTTTAAAATAAAGTTTAAATACATCAGTAGGATTTCTGTAATATAAGGAAATCTTGGTTAAAGTTAACTACGATCACTAGTCAATTGTTACTTCTTTTAGGGCTCAGCACTTCAGTAGTGAAGCATAGGTAGGTAAACTTTTACTAGGGATTTAATAAAGCAAACTAAAATAAAATACTTCTAGGATAAATTCTTAGAGTGCAGTGTGGTTCACTTCTATCTTCAGTACCTTCTACTTGTTCGTCATTGTGTGAGAGCATCAGCCTTTAAAATGGTAGCTCTGAGATAGTGCAAGTTCTGAATTGCCAAAGGAAAATTAAATTCTTTTCACCACACTGTACTTCCTAGCACAGGAAAGTATACAGTTAATTTTTTTTTGAACAAGTATATAGTTCAAAAGAGGCTTCTAAACAATTTATTGTTAACCAAAAATCTACACAGACTCTCCCTTTCCTGTGCAAAGCAGTGACACTGTCTTTTTTTTTTTTATGACATTGACCACAACTTACCACAATGCAACAGCTCCCCTCCCACTACCTCCTGATAATTACCTCTTCCCTGTGTCCATCCCTCCATGTACTCCTGCCCCTTGAGCTGTCTCCCTGTGCATAAGCAGGCCTTCTTTCTCCCGTGATTGTTCTCTCCAAGGAGTGTATCTACCTCAGGTAAATGTTCAACTCATATGCCTGTCTTTTGTTTGGCTGGAAGTCACAGGTGTGGGTTCAATTCCAGACCTGAAGGGCAGCTAGGGGCCATAGTCTCAGTGGTTCCACTAGGCTCTATCAGACCAGCCAACCTAGTCCCCCCCCCCTTTTTTTTTTCTCCAAATGATTTTGAGTTTTGTTCCACATTTCTCTCCCTCTCTATCTAGGATCTCCTACATAGATCCCTTTCTAAGTGGTTGACATTGGTAGCTGGGCACCATCTAGTTCTTCTGGTCTCATAGTTGTATAGGCTGTAGATTGGATGGTGTACCAGTTGCTAAGACTGATTGTATCCATGAATTTTTGGTTTTCTTCATTCTTCTTTGCTTTGGATGAGGAGAGACCTATCGTTGCATCTAGATGGCAGCTTGTAAGCACAAAGCAGTGAGACTGTCTTGTGTGTATAATTGTATTTATTCATTCCTCATGCATTAAATGAACACCTATTATGAACCACACTTTAAGCTAAGTATAACACATTTAAATTGAAGTATATGGAATAATTAGAACACATGAACGACTAGCCATTTTGGTACAAATATGATTGTATAGTTAATAAAACTTGTTTTCTGATCTTTTTAGACTGATAAGAAAACCCACGGAAGTTTATTTTGGGTTTTAGACCACACAAAAACTTCATTTGGGAGGCGGAAGTTAAAGAAATGGGTGACCCAGCCACTCCTTAAATTAAGGTAAAAATTAAGGTAACTTTTTTTGACTGATTTTTTTTAAATTTTGGTGAAAATGCACATGGTCATAAAGTTTCAATGATTTCTACATGTAAAACTCACTGACATTGATTACATTCTTCATGTTGTGCAAACATTCTTACCATCCTTCTCCAGATGGTTTAACCACCATTGAGTTAGACTCACTGCTCCCTAAGCATCTCATCTTTTCTTTGAGTTGTTGCAATTTGATCTCACATAGATTATTCTTTAAAAGACCACTATGCTCAAGGTAAACTTTATTTATTAAGATAAGCTATTGTTTGGTTCAAAGTTTAAAGTTTAAAGATTATCTAATGGTGATAGTTTTGAGGTTCATCTAGCCTCAGTGTCTCCTGAAAGTCTGGCTTTCATTGAGAATTTGAAATTCTGTTCTACACTCTTCCCCCTTTTGATCAGGATTCTTCTGTAGAATTTTTGATCAAAACATTGGTAATGGTAGTTGGGCAGCATCCAATTCTGGTCTCATATCAAAGGAGGCAGTTGTTCATGGAGGTAACCAGATAGTAATCTGTTTCCTTCTCCGATTCCTGACTTTCCTTTTTCCTCTGTTGCTCTAGGTGAATAGAGATCTATTGTTATACCTTGGATGGCTAATTGCTAGCTTTCAAGGTCCCCCGCACTATCTTATGAACTGGGAGGTAGAACAGAAATACTGAGAAACTGTATTAGTCCCTTAAAACTATGATCCTTAACCTCCAAACCAAGAGATAAATCCTAGGGGTGTTTGGTTGTATCTGAGCAGTTGTACAACCATTATCTTTAATCAATACCAAATTAAAAGGAATTACTTCTTGTTTGTTAAATCTGAAGGGAACTACATTCTCCAAGGTTATCATGGTTTATGGGAAGACAGTTTTAAATTGGGGAATATTTTATGTGTATCTGATGATAGAATACCTAGAGTTCTGAGGAGTTTTTCTTTGTTTAAAAGGGTGGACCTCCTTGCAGATTGGAAGACATGAGTTGTTTATGAGAAAATGAGTTATCCTGTTAGTTTGACTCATCATTTGCATAAGGGCATAGGGAAAAGGGGTCCTGGAGACAGAGTGTAGTGCTTGTAATGAGCACCTGGGGCAATCTAAGTTGTGTGTCTTCCCCTCCCCCACCATTTCAAAATGAGTTGGTGCTGATAGTGGTGATGAGTCAGCAGAAATGCTTTGATCTTCTTGTTTGGCTCCCTTGGATGCTGTTGTTAATGTGCTGTCGAGTTGGACCCGACTCATGGCGACCCCTTCTTGCGTTTCCAAGGCAGTATCACTACAGAAGTAGATTGCCCCATCTTCCTTCTGAGGAGTGGCTGGTGGGTTTGAACCGCCAGCCTTCTGATTAGCAGTCAAGTGCCTTAGGCACTGTGCTACCAGAGCTCCCACTCCCTTGGATAGGCATCTTTTATATTTGTGGTAACTCAAAATGTCATTCTGTTCCTTGTCTGGTGCCCTCTTGGACTTACGCCCAGGGGCAAGTGCTTCCTTCTACCCCACTTCACTATGCCTCTGGATGTCTCCCATGCTTGAGGAAGAACATTGGGCCATACTGGGTTAATAGAGACTGCTCAGTGACACCTCTGGTTCAAGTGGTGCCTAGAGCACATGCTATTCCTGCCATACCTTAGATACACCTCTGCCTGGAAAGATGAGTTGATAGTTTGTAGATGGATCAGTGCCTTGAAGGCCAGGCTGAGAAGTTGGTTGCCAGAGGAAGTTAATTAAATGATTCTGAATGTGGGAGAAGTGTGATTAGATTGTATGTAGGAAGGGACAGACATTTAGTGGACAAGTTAGCAAGTTCCTGGAGAGCTGCTGATGACCTGAGTCAAAGGTTTCAGGTACAACATATTTAGAAAAGTAGAATACTTAAAACTAAGAACTCCTTGAGGGAAAGTAGCTGAGTCTGGACCATAAAACACAGTGGTTTTCAATACTGTCTGCATATTGGACATTGTTTTAAGCCAGAGACCCCAAACTTGTCTGCATAACAGAATCAGTTGAGGCACTCTTAAAAATTTGAAAGCCCAGGCTACACACTCACCCAGTTACACAACAACCTCTGGGAGTAGCACTAGTCCTTTGTGAGCACCATGTTATATGCAGTTTGGGTACTGAATGATGTGTGCTTGGGATTCTGCTTTACACGAAAAGCTGATAGAAAATGTACCATGCCTTGAACATTGATGCTGAACTTTAGACTGGCCTGTCACCTAAATTAGCAGTAGCAAACAAACAAAACCTTTTTATCTTCCATTTTCATTTTAGCTCGTACTTCTTAAACTTTTTTACTCAAACTCCAATTAGTTTCACCCAAAGGAATTTCACTTAAATCTTAAAGGTACTTGCAATGTATTCTAAACAAATAAATACCTAGAAAATATTTAGGTGATTAGCCAGTGACTTAGCTGTATTTTTATTATTTTGTTTGGGTTTGTTGTTTTGCACATAAGAAGTGCCATGCCAATGGCATCAGTCGTCCATTCAATCTGATATTCTGGCCCTGGTGTTAGTGCTCAAAACTTATTTTAGGGACTGGTTTTCTTCTCTAGTGAGATCATGCAATAAGTAATGGGTGACAAGGGAATATAACAAGATAAGATAGATCTCTCCAAGTTCTCTTAAGAGCCAGTTGTCATTCTTTCTCCTTTTTTAAATTTTATTGTGAGTTGGGTGACAGTTTACCAAACAAATTCATCTTCCATACTGAATTGCAATGTCTCATGACATTGATTGTAATCTCCCACAATTCAGTAACTCTCTTCTCAGTTCCTCCCCATAACCACCTCTTCTCTGTGTCCTTCCTATCCATGTGCTCCTGCCCCCCGAGGTGTCTCCTTGTGCATACACAGCCCTGTTCTCCCATGATGGATCTCCCCAAAGAGTATATCTGCCTAATGTAAATGTTCAGCTCATATGCTTGTCTTTTGTTTGGCTGGAAGCCACTGGAGTGGGTTCAATTCCAGACCTCTGAACGCCAGCTAGGGGCCATATTCTCAGGGGTCTTACCAGGCTGAATCAGACCAGCAAACCTTGTCCTTTTTTTAATGATTTTGAGTTTTGTTCTATATTGTTTTCCCACTCTATTCAGGATATTCTACATAGATCCCCCTCTGAGTGGTTGACAGTGGCAGCCGGCACCATCTAGTTCTTTCTAAAGTCATATAGGCTGAGGATCACATGGTGTACCAGTCATTTGGACCAGCTGTTTCCATGTGTCTTTGGTTTTCTTCATTTTTCTTTGTTCTGGATGAGGAGATACCCATCGTTGCAGCTAGATGGCCGCTTGCAAGCTTTTAAGATTCCAGTCACTACTTGCCAAAGTAGGATGTGGAACAGTGTTTTTGTGTAGTATGTTGTACCAATTGAGCTTGATAGCTCCTGTGACCATGGTCCAGAGCCCAGAGTTCCAGCTATTTGCTCCATCCAGGTAGCTGGCCATGGCTAAGAAATGACTACAATCTTGTCCCTTCTCAGCTCTACTATTAAAAAAACAAAACAAACTTACTGCCGTGAAGTCAACTCTGACTCATAGCGACCCTTCCTTGGGTTTCTGAGGAAGTATCTCTATGGAAGTAGATGGCCCAATCTTCCTTCTGAGGAGTAGCTGGTGAGTTTGAACTGCCAGCCTTCTGGTTAGCAGTCAGATGCCTTAGGTACTGTGCCACTAGAGCTACCTGGATATTCTTACCAAACCAAAATAGGAATAGAGTTCTAATTGATATTCTGTGTACTTCTTTATTCTTTTCTTTGAAGCTCAGGGTTCCAAGATTATCATCTGTATCTGTTTCATTTGGTTTCTAGTGTATTTGTTGGAGGGGATCTAGGAACTATAGCTGCATAATCCACCATTTTGAATCTGGCCTTTGTGCTGCATCAGTCTTGATTTGTGTTATTACTGTTAATTCTTTCGGCTATCTTCTTTTCTTTGAAAGATAGAAAAACTGAGATTCAAAAAGGTTAATTCTCTAAAGTCGCCAAACCAAATCAATCAGGGCCTGTCTGAAAGCGTAGTTTAGGAGTTCATCAGAATTGATTTAGAGTTTTGATTCTCTTACTTGGTTGTATCACTTTGGACAAGATATGACAAGAGATATGAAGTGTATAACACTACAGTTTTTTCATCTATAAAATGGGAGTTGTAATACCTACCTCTTAGTGATATTGTGAGGATGAATTGACAGCATATAAAAACAATTAGTGTGTTCCCTAGTATCAACCATGTGCTTAAAAAGATAGCTGTGGTCTTTATAATATCAAAAAAATTAGAAGCAGTATTATTATTAGTAGGAGCTCTGGTAGCCGAGTGCCTAAGGCACTTGACTGCT